GACCTGGTTTCTCCATGAAATGAATAAAGTGATTTTTGTTCCTGGAGTTCATCAAACACAGTTGTGCTATCTCCAGAGGGTCCAGAAAACATTTTTTACATGGGGGATGCATGGGACCAAATTGATACTGCAGGGGGTAGGGTGCTTGCCTTGCACGTGGGAGGAGCCTAAAATCCTCTAAGCCTACTGAGCAACACTGGATGTGACACCCCCAAACTAATCACAATAGCACTGTCCTCCCATTGTTCATCGATTTGCTCAAGCGGGCCCAGTAACGTCTCCGTTTTAAGACTTGTTGTTACTGTGTTTGGCATATTGAATACACCATGGGTAGCTTGCCAGGTTTTACCATGCGGGCGAGATACTCTCTGTAGCTTGCCCGGCTCTCCGAGAGGGGCGGAGGAACCGAACCTGGCTTGGCCAGCCTGGCTACGCGTAAGGCAAATGCCCTACCGCTGTGCTATCGCTCCAGCCCAAACTAATAATAATAATAATAATAATAATAATAATACAATAAAAATAAAAAGCATGTGCATACTCTGAATCCTTCCGGACTGGAGTCCCATCTATTTTCCTGGCACAAGGTGCAAGCTCTGGAAATCATGGGAGGTTTCGAGCAGTTCCCCTTCCTATGTTTGTGCAGTTCACCTTCTTATGTTGCTACAATGCTGGGTGCGGCCTGGGAAGGGCTTTCCTGGCTGTCCTGAGCTGGAGTGTGAAGTAGGCTCCTACATGATTCTGGGTCTTACAGCATAACTTGTTATTCATAGCTTTTGGTATTTTATCAAGTTAGCAACACTTTTTTTTGGAGGGGGCAGAGTAGGGAAGGTCATAGCCACTGGTGCTCAGGGGCTTCTCCTAATTCATTGCTCAGGGAACTCTCCCAGCTCAGTGCTCAGGGGTCATTACCAGCAGTGCCCTAGAGGTCATACAGAGCTTGGAATTGAATCTGGACCTCCCACACGCAGGCATCTACATTTTACACTGTGCATCTTTCACGAGATACTACTTCTTTTCAGTGTTGAGTCCTCTTATTCACAATGGAACACAAAAGGATCTTATTTGTCATCAATTCTAAAACAAGAATTCAAGGCAGTTGTCCAAACTTTTAAAAACTTGCTTATAAGTGGGCATTTGTAAAATATTTTTTTCCTCTATGTAAAGTTGCAATATCTATTTTTTAGGTCTTGTGGGAATAAAGATGAGCTTGGAGGAAACATACACGAAGCAGTACAGCTGACTTGTCTGGGATATTCAATTCTTTTCCAAAGCATTGCTATTTATAAAAGTTTGCATCTGTCTAATTTTAGACTTGTCTGTCTAATTTTAAATAGTAAAGCCCTTTTAGGCATTAACCGTGACTAATCATATGTTTGGAAGCACATTTAGTGCATGGTTGGTGCTCAATAAATGTTAAATAATTGAAAATGTTAACAATAATCATATTTGTAAGCACATTGAGCAAGGCTGTTTCTAAATATGTTTCAGGGGAGAGCTCAGTGCATTGTTGGCAGGCAAACACCGTGCAATGATAATAACACCAAATGGTTCTCTTGTTTTTTCCAGAAAGAAAGGGGGAATTTAATAACATTCAAACTGATTAGGGTTCCCATAGAAAGCAGAATAGTGATCACTCGAAATATCCATGTCCTAATCCCCAGACTATATATAAATTCACTTATGCTGCAAATGGGAATTAAGGTAGCAAATTAAGGTTACAACTCCATTGGTCTCAAAATGGAAAGTGTTTCCTGGAATAGCCAGGTGAATCCAATGTAATCACTAGGGTCCTTTGAAATGGAGAGTTGGGGGTTAGGGGGTGCTCCAAGAAATGGAGGATGCTTCACTGATGGCTTCAAAGGGGAGGGGAAGAGTCAGTTGCTGAAGAACGCAGGCGGCACCTCAAAATGAATGAAGGCCAGAAAGCTGGTTCTCTCCTGAGTTTCCAAAAGGAGCACTTAGGTTTTAGAACTCCTGACCTTCAGGCCTCTATGGTCATAAATGTGTGTTATTTGGCGCCATTTATTTTGTGATAATATGTCATGGCAGAAACACAAAATGAATTTAAATTTAATTTAATTTTTTTAATTTAAAAATTTTTAATTTTAAAATTTTTGAATATGATTGTATATACTATCCTAAGATTTTTTTTTTTTTGGCTCTTTGGGTCACACCCGGTGTTTTTCAGGAATTACTCCTGGCAGTGCTCGGGGGACCATATGGGATGTTGGGAATCAACTTGGGTCAGCTGAGTGCAAGGCAAATGCTCTACCCCCTATGCTATTGCTTTAGCCCCTAGATTTTTTTCTCTTCAACTTCTACCTTCATGTTTTTCTAAAATGAATCTGGTCCTAGAAGCAAGCACAAGTCCATATTCCCCCAGAGTCCTTTCTGATGCTAATGAAAATAAAGGCAAATCCTATTCACGTCTCAAAACTAACTCTGGTGCATTGCAAAAAAAAAAAAAATGTAGAGAGGGAAGGTCCTCCAGGGAAGAAGTGGGTGGGCATTCAGGGGGCACCAGACGCCTGATCCAGGACTCCAGTGTTTCCCAGTTAGAGGGAAAACGTGATCTCGGTTCAAACTATCTAACTTTATGTGTCTTGTGGGACTGGACAGGATGGTGAAACAATGAGTGCTTTTATCCTTTCTCTTATTCACCGACCAGCAATTTCAGGAGACTCCCTAAAGGAAGAGTTCCAAAGCACCAACCAAAGAGAGCAGATAAATAGGGTAATCCAAAAGAGCTCACCCACACACATTAAAAACAAACAAACAAAAAAAAACCCTACATTGTTCATCTATGGGCTGGAGCAGTAGCGCATCGCATCGGGTAGGGTGTTTGCATTGTACACGGCCAACCCGAGTTCGATTCCTCTTTCCCTCTTGGAGATCCTGGCAAGTTATCGAGAGTATCCCACCCTCACGGCAGAGCCTGACAAGCTCCCTGTGGCGTATTCAATATGCCAAAACCAGTAACAAGTCTCACAAAGGAGACATTACTGGTGCCTGCTAGAGCAAATCAATGAACAACGGGATGACAGTGCTACAGTGCTACAGTTCATCTACACTCAGAGTTGTCCTTGGAACCTATCAGTACTTGCAAAGAAAAAAAAAGAAAAAATTATTTTTATTGTGTTTTGAACTACGTCTGATGGTGTGTTGCTGGCTTGTTGGTTTGTTGCTGGCTCTGTGCTCAGGGCTCATTCCTGATGGTGCTCAGAGGCCACATGGAGCACCAGGGATTGATCCCATGTCGGTCACATGCAAGGCAAGTGTCCTACTTACTGTACTATTCTCTGGTCCCAGAAAAACATGTTTAAGCAAATAGAATAAAGCAGTGTTTCTCAACTAAGGTCTTATAGCCCCTCTGTGGGCCCCAGGATTTTCCAGTGGGACCACAGGTGAATTTAATGTCAATGGAGGTTCTTGGCTCATCAAACTCAGTGAACCAACCAGTAGGATAGTGGGGATCACAGGAAGGAAACAAGTTCAGAAAGGGGAAATATTTGGAAACACTGCTTTAGAGTTCCAATACTATATTTTCAAACATAAGTATTTTCTGGGATCACTTTATTTTTAAGATATATTTGAAGAAAGTTCAGTTCAATTAAGCTATTTTGTTCATATTTGGTTATATTATTAATAAACTAATGCTTTAAATTGTTTTAAATGCCCACGGGTGGCTAGAGGCTGCTATCATGTAAAGTGCAGACTTAAAGTTGCACAGACACAGGGAACAAAACCAATTTTCAGTTCATATACTTTTTTTTCTCGCAGAAAAGTGTGCCAGAGTGATCAATAAAAACCTTAATATATTTTTATATAAGATTATATGTGTATAAAACTCTGTGTGGGTAGTAGAATAGTCTTTATTCATAACTTCTTTGCATACAGGGAACGATGTAGGTCAAGCTAGTCAAAGAAGTGGGAATCGGGGGTTGCTCAGTACAGGCGGGCTCTGGAATTGGAAAAGCATCTGCCTTCATACAGCAGATCCTGGATAAGCACTTCAGAAATAAGACTTTACAATCTTTTAGTTCAGCAACCCAGAGTTCTCTGTCTGGCTCAGTGGTTCATGTTCCCAAACCAAGGAGACAGGTCTGATTTACTGTCTAGATAAAATGTGCACTCCTGACCACACAAGTGGAAGCTGGATGGGCGATCCGTTTATGCAACACAACCAGCATGGGCGAAAGGAAGGGCAGAGGTGGAGGTAGGTCCTAAACATGGGGGCTGTGAGTTTGAGGGGTCGCCACAAACATCATCCAGTGTCAGCTAGAGCACTTCCATGCTTCTCACTGTTGCCAGGCATCATGCTGTTACAAATTCACTAACTCATTAAATTCTTTGTGCAGTACCAGAGGGTAGGAATTGAAATCTGTATTATACAGATGAGTAAGTGAGACACTGATCACATACTTGATAAGGTTTAGAACCTGGCTTATACCCCGCTGAAATAAACTGTTCAGCAATTTCATCTCATTGTTTCTACACTTGCATCTAGCATCCCTAGATATGGAATCTTCTGTGGCAACAAGCAGATTCAAAAAGAAAAATGGTGGTAAGTGATATTTATCATACGGCTGAAAGTTTTGAGAATAAGGAGACAAAGAGAGAAATAAAGCATTTTACACACCTGCTTCATTTTAGGCACTTTGTCTGTCTGACCTATTTAATAGCTGCTAGTATTTCAAGAATGCCAGCATTAAGACATATAAGCATTAAAGAAGTGAGTTTTGAAAACACGTAAGTTGTCAAAGAAAGTGAAGTTCAGAAGACTAATTTGTTCAAAGTGTCACAAGTAGGAGGTGTTAATGGGAACTCCTGAGCAGGTTTGCAGTTCAGACCTGTGGCCTCTGACCTATATCCCCTGCCAAGTCATGTTAAAACAAATAAGTTAACATGCAGAGGAAAGAATAATTCAATCAATCGTGAAATAAACCAAAGTAGGAGTCAGCTTCCTTAAAGCAAACCATATTTTTAAATCCACTTACAGATCATCAGGTAGGATTATCCTTTCCTATTTCTCTATTCAGAAGCAGATAGAACATGATGATTGGAATTCAAATGATTTGGTTAATGTCTCTATGCGATTAGAGCTCGCAACCCTAATCGCTTCTATCTGATTCTTCCTGGAAAATGAAAACAAATTCACTTACAGTTTTGTGCTTGATTGATCTCATTAAACTCTCTATTTCATTTTGCCTATTAAAGCATTGCTCTAATTGGGCCCAAACTCTCTGTTGTAGTTATAGAAGTTTCTACTGAAACCAAGAAAAGCTCTATCTATTCCTTCCCTCGTCCCTTCCTTCTCCCCCACTTTCTGTCCCCCTCCCCTCTTACTCCCTTTACCTTACACTCTCCTCAACTTTCCTCCTCCTCCTCCTCCTCCTCCTCCTCCTCCTCTTCCTCCTCCTCCTCCTCTTCTTCTTCTTCTTCTTCTTCTTCTTCTTCTTCTTCTTATTATTATTATTATTATTATTATTATTATTATTGTCACACCTGGTGGAAATAGTCAGGGCTTACTTCTGGCTCTGCACTCAGGGATCACTCCAGGAAGGGCTCGTCGGGACCATATATGGTTCTTGGGATTGAATCTAGTCAGCAGTACGCAAGGCAAGCACCTTTTATTATTATTATTCTATCATTTCTCCAGCTCCTCTGACAATCTTTTTGCTTAAGTTCCTACTGCAGGATACTTTGTCATTATTGTTTGGCCTTGCCTCATCACTAAATATTGGCTGGAATTAAAATGAATTTTCAGGAGCTCAAAGAAGATTTTAAGTTTTAAAGCCCAAGCCCTAATGTAAAATGTTTTCACCTATTGAAGCTGGTCAGAGCAGCAACACCCTGTCATCTCCGGCTGGATTAAGCCCAGTCCCTTGAGCTCAGGATACTCTAAACTATTTTCTGTTTAGGAGTATTTACTTTTTATTGTTGGTGGTGGTTGTTTTAGGGGGTCATGCCCAGCAGTGCTCAAAGGCTACTCCTGGCTTGATGTTCACTACTGCTAGTGCTCAGGAGAAGCGTGCAGTGTCATGGATCAAAGCCTTCAACATCCAAATCACGTGTCCCTGCCCCCTGAGCTCTCTCTCCTAAGTTGCTTAAATTGGGGCATGTCCAGTGAGCTGGGGGTTGAGATTTGTAGTGCTAGGCATAGAACTTAGGGCCTCAAGCATGTGCCCTTTCCACTCACTTTCTCTCCCCTGAAAGCATTTCTGAAGTTTACTCACCTTTTACTGAAGATTTCTGGTCTTTTCATTTGTTTGGTTTTGGCATTCTCCCAGCTCAGAGCCCATTGCAATTGAGAAAGAAATGTCTCCCTGTGGAATCAGGACAGAGATTCAGCGCTGGGTTTCAGTGTGAAACCTGTGTGCCTCTTCATTTGAAAGCCTAAGGGCTAAGAGCCTGTGGCCAGGAGAGCTGTCTCTGAACCACCTGCTTCCATGGAATAGCCTTAGATCATGAGGAACCAATGTATCCCGGATGCCCCACATGCTGGAGACTGTGTAGGGGTCTGTTTTCTCATACATTTTTCCATCCCCACCCCCCTTTTACCTTGTTTCTTTTTGAACCTCCATCCCTTTCCTACCAGTTGACTCTCTAGTCTCATGCTCTGCCCCCCTAACCCCACTCACTGTATGGAATCACCCCCTCACAGAAGCACTTTGAGGGAGCCCTTACCCAGCCATTTTCCAAGAGAGAAACTGAGGCCAAGAGAAGGTTAAAATAAACAAACCAACCTGATACCTCAAGCATCACTAGGTGTGACCCCTGAGCATAGATCTGGTGTAAGGCTCAACCACCACCAAATGTGATCCCAAAACCAAAGAAATAAAATAAAATCAAAACAAACAAAGTGGCTGGAGAGATATTACAGAAGGGAGGGTGCATGCAAGGGACCTGAGTTTGATCTCCAGCACCACATATGGTTCCCCAGTGCCCACCTGGAGTGATTCCCGAGCACAGAGCCAGGAATGGAACCCTGAGCACCTCTGGGTGTGCTCCCCAACCAAAACCAATAACAAAATGAAAAAAATCAAACAAACTCCAACAAAACACCAAGCTGTTGTGGGTCACAAAGTTAAAACCTATCTTATGTAACTCCCAAACCACATTCTTTCCCTTCACCAAGAGATTTGCTAACCACACAAGTAGCAGAGAATAACAAGTAATGAAGATCATTAGGGTTTCCTAGAAACATGCTAATTATGAAGTGCTGAATTGTGTTTCACAAGCTGAGTGGTCTCTCGTTTCTGGTCTCTCATTTCTCTCTTTTCTTCCAGCCCAGATCCACAAACCTGCCTTGTACAACATTGTAGTCTCCTCCAAGACACCATTGCCACTGATGTTACTGTCCTACTGGCACCTTTGATAATACTCAATGGCAGTTGGGGTCATATGACCTTCTGTAGATCCCAGGATGGGGTCATAGGTGAAAACTACATAAATGGGGTTAGGGGGACAGAGCATAAGATTAGAAAGTCAGCTGGTAGGAAAGGGATGGGGGCTTAAAAAGAAAGTAAGAAGGGAGTGGGGATGGGGAAATGGTTGAGAAAACAGGAATCCAGAGCAATGGTCTTCAATTGCTGGTCCTCTGGCCAGTGCTGGTCCACTCATGTAGACAGGTTGAAAACCACTGATATAACTGGTGATCCAGGACCTGTGTGGAAGTCAGATATAAAATGGTTGAAAAATGTAGGTCTAGAGCCTTACCCTGCTTAGGAGACAAAAAGGATTTAAGAGTTTTGAGAGAGAATCATTGAGAAAACAAATCTCCACTGGGAGACATAGATGATGAGCTCAAAGTTCAAAGGTGCAGCAAACTGGAGAATGGAGAAGACCACTTCCATCCTCTGAGATATAAATGGAGAGACGAGAAAATAAAGTCAAGACTAGACTCTGAGTGGTGATGTGTTCTTAAAGGGGAATCTTATGCAAGAGATAATAAACATGGAAACCATTCCAAATGATCCTCCAGACACAGGATTGCTGGGCACCTGCCAGGAGTCATAAAAATAAAAAAGAAAAGAAAGAAAGAAACCTGATACAGGAGATGAAGGGATCTTCTGTAATCAGAAGCAAAATCCTGAGCTGCCAAAATATCCATTCAAGTTCATGTTCTTGTGGAGGACATGGAGAAGCAGCACCCAGATCCTCCTGTGATAAGAGACCTGCTGGCCCAGCTCCAGGAAGACTGTGCAGAGCCTCAGGGCCAGCCTCGACTACAACCAACCCTCTCTGGTGTCATGCCCTCTCAGAAGATAATAGATAGGAGCTGAGTCATTGTGGAGTACAAAGACCTCAGCATCTGCCTTTATGCGGACAACATAAAAGGTTATTTTATTCTAGCTCACCAGCTTCCTATGAACTTTGTCACACTTTGATGCCATCCTCTATCCTGCTTCATCCAGGTATGGATGCCAAGGACATGGCTTCGTCAGCAACCTGTGCCTGAAGAAGGATCCCACTGCCTGCCTTGTACAACACTGTAGTTTCCTCCAAGACACCATTGCCACTGATGTTACTTTGGTTCTGTGGGAACCAAGCCTTGCAATGGAACTTCTCTGAGCAAGGAACCAAGAACCAAACAGGAAAACTGGAATCCCCATTGCCATCCCCTCCAAGTCCATTTTAGAATAATACTAAGCAGCACAAAGCTTTCAAGCAGGGACTGAGGTACCTACTGCAGCAGGCTTATTGATTCATGGAATTATTTCCAAAGAGCCTCCCAGACTATAGAACTCTTCAAAGGAGTCATGATAATTTATTCTATCCATAAAATTTCATGAGGTCAGGCAGTTTTATCTTGACTATACACAGAATCTTTCAAATAAGGACTCATTAAACACCTGTTCAGGTGTTGTGCTAGGAGTAGGGAATGCAAAATATGAAAAAAGTTTCAGCTCTCACAAGGACTTACAGGTAAGATAAAGTAAGATCAATGGAGTGAGATGCACAGGGTTGTGGTGGAGGCAAGAGAATGGTCTTAGAGGTGGGGTGACAGCCCCAAGGGCTACAGCACAAGTTTTGCCTGCTGGTGCCCTGGGTTTGATTCCAGCATTGTATGGTCCACCTGGCACCTCTGGGAGCAACCCCTGAGAATGGTGCTAGGAGTAGTCCCTGAGCCCTGCCTGGTGTGTCCCCCATCAAGAAAGAAAGAAAGAAAGAAAGAAAGAAAGAAAGAAAGAAAGAAAGAAAGAAAGAAAGAAAGGAAGGAAGGAAGGAAGGAAGGAAGAAGAAGAAGAATGCAATGTTCCATAGTTAAGATGAGGGAGGGTGATTGGCACTTCAAGAGGGCAGAAAGAGAAGTAACTAGAATACATGGAAACTACAGCCCTCATCACAGCAATCAACCCCCATGCATTTGGAATCCAGGGGCCTGGGGTGGGGTTATGGAGGGGTCAGGATATGTAAGCTCATCTCTTTCTAGTTCTTACTTGCTCTGTTATGTAATCACTCTTGGTCTCAGTTTCCTCTTCTATAAAATAGAAACTGAATTCGTCAGTTCAGGCTACTATAACAAAAATATGAAAGATTGGGTAACTCAACAGCAGGAATTAATTTTCTCACAGTCTTGAAATGGGCACATCCAAGATGAAGATACTAGTTGATTTATTTTCCTGGCAGAGATTTCCTTGATGTCAGATAAGCCCCTGTGTCTTCATAAGGCAGAGATAGAGGAGAGGGACAGGGAGAGGGTGTGGGAGAGGGAAAAAGGGAGGGAAGAGAGGATGAGGGAAGGAAAGAGAAGAAAGGAGGAGAGAAGAGAGGTAGGGGAATGGAGATAGAGGAAGAGGCGAAAGGATGAAAGAGAGGGAGAGAAAGAGGGGAGGAGAGGGAGAGAGGGGGAGAAGAGAAGAGAGAGAAAGGTGGGAGGGAGAAGGGACCAACGGAGAGAGCTCTCTGTGCTATCTTTCCTATGTGGGCACTGATCCCATTAGGATCCCCCTCTTTAGGACCTCATCTAAACCAGATTTCTTCTTAGAGTTCACATCTCAAACGCACTCAATGGGAGTTAGAGCTTCAAAAGATGAATGTCTGGAGCACACAATAGCCCTGCAAATAGGCTTTTCTCATAGGATTGGAAGATTCAATGAGTTAAGGCATGTAGTGGGCCTAGACCA